GTTCTTGGTCAGCACCTTAACCACTACTTTGGATTTTTTTTAAAGGAAGGAATGTCAAAATAATTTGTAAGAATTGCATGTGAAAACAGGGTTGGCGGAAACAAACTTGTTAAGCTGTAAACATCACAGGTAACATTTCAGAATAATCTCCCAAAGAATGATGCAAAAGGCAAGAGCGGTTGTAGCAAATTACTACCTGAGATGGACCTGTTAGTAGGAAAGGCAACTAGAATAAGCAGTAATACTTTGCAAGATGCATCAAACCTGAAGTCAAGATGTTTGTTATTTATTTGTACAAGGCGAGGATTTTTTTTTATTGAATATGGTGAGCGGCCAGGTGTGAAAAAGAGTGGCTGGGAGGGGGGTGAGGTGGGACTGGGCATGGTGAGCAGAGGCCAAACAAAGTGAGGCGCCTCTCAACCTGAGTGATGTCAAGTTGGCCACATCCACCCAACTCTTTTAGTTAAATGGTAATAAATCAGTTTCTTCAAAAGAGAAATACATACACAAACCATTTTGGTCGTGAAGGAAAAGTCTTCCTGCATACCTCATTCCTCCTTCTGAATAGGTCAGATTGGCTTTTGCAGAATGTGGTGTTTGACTGTCTTGTTCATAGTCATGGTTTAGGATCCCATTTAGTTAACTTACTTATTGGAAGAGATTGAAATATGAGATCAGATCTTGGGAAGTGTATTCCATAATCAGTGGTCTCTGTCCAGGGGTGATTTGACACACTCACATCCAAACTTGAATTATATAAATAGAGCATTTCTCTAGCCATAATGTGAACAAAGGATGGTCAGGGAAACAATAAGTACATTCTGCTAAGCCATGATTTGTTTCAACTATAGCTTGTTTGCTAGTTTATGCTAGTTTAACTGGATATAACTAAACTATAAAGGATGATTTATAAACTGACTTTATAGATTATACTGCACCAAAATCCAAATGATTTCTGAATCCACCTAATGCATAGTTTAAGAGTGGGATAAATCACAAGGCACCATGCCATGAAATACAAAAGTTCAATTCTGCAGTAATTTGATTTATCTGTTTATTTAAGGGTGATATCATACTGGTTCATTTATTGAATATCCACTAAACAACTTTTAAAATGCAATGTCAGCAGTGCTTCTGAATACATGCAATTCCTGATGTTAAATTGTGAACTGCTCTAGGTCATAGTATTGGTTGAAAAATGGGATCTTATGTGTAAAATTAAGGTCAAAAATGAGAAGAACATCTCAGATCATTTTTACAGACAATTTTTACAGAACTTGCAACTTAATTGTTACAATTCATGGGTAAACTCATTTTTTTTCTAGTGTATTACCTATACTCTAAAATACTATTATAGAATGCATCCCTACCACTGCAATACATCAATTTAAATCTTCCTTCAGCCTCTTAGGTCAGTTTGTGGATAGAAGATAGAAGATTGTTCTGTATAATATATGATACACATGAAGAGCATTCATATATTTCCCACCTCCTTTTTTTCTAATCACCAATCAAATGCTCCTTTTTGGTCTGAGATTCATATAATAGTGTGGCAATTTTACTAAGAACTTCCAGTATTTTTTGAGGTACAACATATTGGTTTCTACTGTTGGCTTTGTTGGAAATTGCCTTGAAACGGAGAGATGGAAAAATGAAGAAGGTGCTTGAAGTTGCCCGTGTCTGAGTAAATTTTGTTAAAATGTTTTGTTAGAATATGGTGCCTTCTATATATACACACACAGACACACAAACATATACACAAATACAAATGGCTTGGGTCTTTATAAAGCATCCCACACTTCTATTATAAATTGCTCTTTACTCCTCCTCCCTGAAAACCTTTATATCAATTTCCAGATAACTGCACCTCTCCAGTACTGCCCCCTCATTCAACACTTAAGGAAGACGTCCCAAAAGAAGGCTATTCAGTTGGAACTGTCCTGACATACCACTGCATCTCAGGTTATGAATATATCCCTGGAACTAACCCTTCAATTACATGTCTGAACACTTCAGAATGGTCTGAAATTTCATCATTGTGTCAAGGTGAGTATCTTCATGATGGTTCCATTTTGAAAAATAGGTCATCCATGTTTATATTTTCTATATATCGACCTTCACTGGCTCCTCCCAAACTTCATTATAAAATCCAGTAAAAATCCAAAACAAGTGCTTCATATATCCTAGATGAGAACCTTAGCATTCTAATATATACGGTGAATTAATAAAGAAGAAACAGGGATAACAAATTCCTTTCTTTCAGAAAATTATGTTTTATGGACAGGGGTTTAATCTTTAAGGGATGTATCCTCTGCAATCAGAGTTCAATCTGAGTACTGACACTTCTGTCTTGAGGAAGACAATCTCTTACAATCTTGAGACTACAGATAAATTTCCCTACATAAAATCTCATGCCATTGTACTAGACAGACTACAGAAGCGATTGACAAGTTGAACTGGGCCTTTCTGTTTAAAGTAGTAGAAAAGATGGCTCGGGATTTATACAGGGTCTGAAGTCCTTCTGTACACTCCAGAAAGCTCAGATTATGGTGAACGGAGATTTGATAACATCATGTGAATTCCAGAAAGGAACAAGACAGGGGTGTCTTTTATCCCCTTTGTTATTTATTCTACAGTTGGAACTGTTAAATAGAGATATTAGACAAGAGAGCCAAAGGGCTATAAATCAAAGTACACAATTGCAAATTATATGGATTTTCTGATGATTTGGTATTGATTGTGTAAGACATGCAAGACAACATTGAATGGGTTACAAGGGAGATCAAAATGCTTGGAGAAATGGTGGGTTTAAAAGTAAATAGATTAAAGACAACAATCCTGACTAAGAACATAAATGAGGAACATCTGGAAGACATTGGAATTTAAACATATCCAGCAATTTTGGAAGACAGTTTGCAGAAAGGTGTTTCCATATGCCAATTAAAAAAAACAGAGGAAAGCAAAGGAGGACCAATATCATTCTCTTTCTCCCACCTTATGGAACACCTGCTCTCAACTAGTGTTGTCACTCAGTGAGTGATTTGCAAACATTTCCTTTTCTAATACGTATCTGGGGGGAGGGGCATGGGTGGGATTCTACCAGTTCACACCTATACTCTAGAACCGGTTGTTAACATTCTAAGCAGTTCAGAGAACTGGTTGCTAGAAGAAATTACTGGCCTAATCCTGTAAAGAGGCAGGAAGGAAACATTCTGGTGTTGCTTACAGAAACTGCCTCTCCATTAACCCTTATTACATTCTTGGCAGGACTAGACTTCCTGTCTCTCGAACTTCTCTGGAGTTTTCTTTCCCTTTTTTGCTGGTACTTTGCTTGTGTGGAGTGACCATTCAAAGTTATAACGCCACTGAAAAAAGTGACTTATGACCATTTTTCACACTTACAACTGTTGCAGTATCCCCACAGTCATGAGAGGCCAGGCGAGGAGATGCATGCCTCGATGTGAGTGATATTGAGTTGGCCACACCCAGCCAATAACATGACCACCAAGCCACGTCCACCCAGTCACATGACCACCAAGCCATGCCCACCAACTAAGCCACGCCCACAGAACCGGTTGTTTAAAAATTTGAATCCCACCCCTGGGGAGGGGGGAACCAAACAAAGAACAAACTCAGCTATTATTTTAATATATTGCAGCAATGCTGCTGAGACATTCGCAACACTAATTTGGAACAAAAATGCATGTGGTGAAGTGAGTTGAGTTCAAAAAAGTATATGCCTTCCAATAAAAATGTATTATGTAGAAATAGTGCTCTCAGACTCCCCCTGATTAAGACAAAAGGATATCAGATGGAGCAAAAGGGAATCCAGTCTAGTCCATAAGATTTAAATTCCACATCTTTTCCATACTTTCTAGGAGTGTGGAAGAGGGGACACCACCTTTCCCCATGTAACTCTACTCCTTTAACATCCTCTTGCTCTTGAAACTAATCTGTTCAGTGGGAAATCCAAGTGGGGTATTCGTCATAATGAACTCCTGCAATGGTAATCTCTAGGATCTTTTCCAATTTGGCTGGAGATCATTGTTGCTGTTAATACCTAGATGCAGAGCCTGGATATGAGACGTGGCAAGCATATCTCAGATCTGCTATATTTTGGAACATGCTTCTAACTATTTTACAAGCAGGTCCACAGTTCCAAATCATAGTAGGTGGTGGGGCTTTCCTGCTATCTACTCGGCAATTGTGATTAATAGTTTCCTCAGAAAGAGACAAAAAAGAGGAAGGATTGAGAATAGGGCAGGAGAGACAATTATTTCTGAAGTTCTAAGATTACTTACTTTTATATTCTATTTTAATAGACCTTTTTCTTCTTTCATTTATTTATAGCATTTTCAAATAACAATATTGTACCGTAGATTATGGCCCTAAGCTCAATGATTTGTCAATGTATGTTGTTCGGTCTGGTCAATCTTAAATTAATGCTACACTGAGCAATAATTATATAAATTTTGTAATTCTGTTTATTTATTGATTCTTACCAATAAATCAATATCAATATCACAAAGTTGATATTATATTTTGAAAGATGTTTCTTTTAAAATTAGTTATACTGTATATATCGAGCTCAATATAGCTGATATAGATATAGCTTTAGGTAAACTAGCAACTTTGCATAGTTCCAGCGGCAATGCCACCCCTTTGGCAGAGTTATTATAATGTCACAGAAGGATATTACAGGGGTGACACTGCATTTTAACAATGCCAAAATGCTTTTGTCATTTTGATGTAAGCCTGCAGTTCAGCAGATGGCTTGGTTGCCCTGCTGAGGCTGCATCTCTCTAGTGCAAGAGTAAGAGAAGCTTGTCAAATCAGCCTGGGTTTAGATTAGCATTACACCTCAGAGGTAGAAGTGCTGCATTCCCACATGATTGATTACTCTTTGTGGGGACCCCTGTTACCAGACCTGTGATAGGTTGGATCTGAATTACTTCTACATTGAACTGAGAGACTAACATACATGCTTATTATTCTCTTAGGGAGGAAATGTCCCACTCCAAATATACCAAATGGCAAGACAGATGCTGATGATGAGGACGACATCCGTTTGGGTGGCAATGTAACTTTCTCCTGTGTACATGGGTGAGTTGTAGTTCATCTGTTAAAACAGTTGCCTTAGAAAGAACAGCCACAAAAGTCAGTTTAAAATAAAATTAAGCTTGTTCTAAATTGGTCTTCTCAAATGTAAAAATATATAAACAGTCTACCTCCTCAGTTTTTCTACATGAATCAAGAAAAGTACATCTGACCACTACTTGAATGTATATACATAAATCGTTTAGTGAGAAATAAAATGAGTCCTTTGCTCCTAACTGTGGAACATTCACCTTGACAGCATTTTGTTCTGCTTGTCTGAGACTTTTTCAACCTGCTTCTTAAAAACTGCTTCATGGGACGCCAGCTTCTTTATTACTTCCCTTTCTTTAAATATTTTTACCCTCTTTGTTTTGTTTATTTATTGGATCATTTATTAAATATGAATATCACGCATCTGGCTCTTATAATTCTTAAGAGATAACAAGATGAGATTTAGAAATGTATATTCTGAATTGTTTCTCTTTGCCTTTAGGTTTAGACTTGTTGGTGAAGCTACACTTAACTGTGTTCTGAAAGATGGCAAGGTTGATTGGAATAGAGAGTTCCCTGTTTGCGAACGTAAGAGATTTTGCTTTAAGGTCATTTAAAGTTTCTGCCAGTGATTTCTGGTGCAGCTTCCAAAAAAGTTGCAGTGTTCTGTTTAGGCTTTCATACAAGTTGGGAAAGTCTAAGGCATCTGGGGACCCCTGAATGTAAGCAGTGCAGGCAATGCTCGCTTAATGACTATATTATGACAGAGTCAAAAAAGGTGGTTATGCCCTGTCCTTGAATTGACAAATGGTTCATACAGATCCCCTCATCAAATTTCAGGCACTTTGAAATTGGGCCATCACTTATGACCAGTTGCAACCTCCAGCATCATAGTGACTTTGATTCATGACTTTCGATTTCCAGCAGAAAACAACAAACATGCATGTTGGAAGTGATGGATTCCCTTATCAACCAAAGTGTTCATTTAACAACTACATGATTTGCTTAACTCTGGTGATTTACTTCATGACTGCTGTAAAAAAAACAGTTGTAAACCTGAGTCAGGTCATGCAGTGTTCTGCTTAAAAACAGCAATGACAGACAATTCCAATTGTTAAATAAGAACTACCTGTGCTGTAGAGAAGGAGGTTTGAACATTGAACATTCTTGTTTAACTAAATCATGTATTACTGTTCTTTATTTGAAATCTCTGTGAAGATTTTCATATATAACAATCCATTGCTATTCCTGTGAATTCCAAATCCCAAATTTCTTGCAGTAATGCTACTGCTTTCTTACTAAGATTGGAAGATATCTCCATCAACTAAATAATCTATTAAACTGCCAAACCATTTTTATGCTTCTCCACAATAATTATTAGTCCTTCGGTTGCCTAAAGTGTGTTGCAGTAATTCCCCAATATCTCCAAAATAAATCTCTCTCAATCCTATCAATATACTGAAAATAACTGTTCTAAGGATATTAGCAAAATCCATTGTATAGCTATAGCCTTTGACCGCAACAACAGCTAGGTGACAAAACCTCAACCATGAACAGGGTAGAGTCCAAATGGTTTCTTTCTTTATTATTTAATTTCTATGCATTCCATCTCATTAGTACAGTGACTCTAGATGACTTACAATATAATAAAGATTTAAATAATTATGTAATATGATTTCTCCTCTGCTACATGCCAAGTAAGCTTTTTGCTCTTGGCTGGTGGAAGGAGAACATTTCTCTGCTTATTTACTTGCCTGTAGTGAAACAGCCTGAATATTCTTCCAGTGCCAAAGAGTAACTGTTATTCTAGTTAAAAGGTGACTTCTGAGAAATCATTGTCTCTCCCTCAGATATCCCTTGTAATCGTCCTGAAAATATTCCTGATGGACAATTTGATCCTGACCCTAAAGACGAATATTGTGTAGGATCAGTTGTAATCTACCGCTGCAACAGTGATTTCTCCCTGATTGGACATTCAACCATCACATGCATAACTACAGAAGATGGCCGAAATGGGAAGTGGAATTTACCTGCCCCTGAATGTAAAAGTAAGGGAAAATGGAAGCCTCTTTAATCAGCTGAATTGCCTTTTTAACTGTTGTTGATGGTAAATAAAATTCTTGCAGGAAGAAAATCATGGCATCAACTCTGAAGCTCTGTGGTCCCTGCATGAAAGGGGAATTTGAAAAATAACAAAGAAAAAAAACTATTTTGAGAAATATTGTAGTCATTTATAATATATAGCAAAACTGTTAACTGTTAATTCTGGTCTAATTCAAAGGTTAATTCAAAGAAATGATCCTGTCTTTCAAATATCTCTTGTCTTCGGCCTGATAGAATTCCTGATTCTAATTCCACTTATTACTATGGAAGAGTAGTAATTTATCAAACTGATTCCCTCTGTTTGGAAGGTCAATGACTACATGCATAGTTGCAGGAAGTGGCCTAAATGGAGAGTAGAATTCATAAGGCAGCTATGACAAATGCTATAGTAGTATAAAATATTATAGAATCCCTACATGTTATGCACATAAAATATGCTGCTTATTGGAAAATAATAACATTCAGATTCGTTATGAACAATGTTTTATATTGAGCATCTCTTTTTGGTCATTGCTTGCAAAATGATTGAGATTTCCAATTTCTGCATCTCTAACTAGTAACAATCATCCAACACAGTTACTAGGTTAGATGAGCAACCATTTAAAACCCCAAGCATGCAGTAAGAGTGGTAGTACAGGTAGTCCTTGACTTACCACAGTTGATTTAGTGAAGTTGCAATGGGGCTGAAAAAGTGACATGACCATTTTTCACACTTATGACCGTTGCAGCATTCCTATGATCACGTGGTCCCCGTTTGTATCCTTGGCAACTGACACATATTGATTATGGCTGCAGTGTCCCAGGGTCACGTGATCCCTTTTTGTGACCTTCTGACAAGCAAAGTCGATGGGAAAGCCAGATTCACTTAACAAGTGTGTAATAATTTAACAACTGCAACAACTTAAAATCATATTATGGGGCAAAATTGTCTTAACAACTGTCTCACACACCGACAGAAAATTTGGGCTCCATTGTGGACATAAGGCGAGGACTACCTGTAGTAAAGAAATTTGGATTTGATGGTATGAAAACCAACTGCAAAATTTGATGGTATGAAAACCAGCTACCAAAACACAAACGGAATAAAAGATTAACCGAATATGATCTTGTAGTGGCTTAATATCCGATACTAGCAGAAGAAAGAAAAATAAAAGCAATCGCAGATTATATATCCCTTTTAGCCAAGAACTTGGTTGTTTTTATTTATAGGCTGTTGTTCTGAGCTGGTTTTCTTTAAAAGATGCTTTCTCTTTTCAGAGGTCAAGTGTGATCTACCAAAAGTGGAAAATGGGAAATTAATTAATGTACCTAAGCCTTCATATACCTATAATGAAGCCATCAGCTTTGAATGTAATTCCAGCTATTCTGCTGTGGGAAGCCTGCATATTAAATGTGGGGCTAACAGTTCATGGCTTCCTGCCATTCCCGAATGTGTTAAAGGTAACTATTTTACAGTCTTACAGGAGAGTTTGGTTGACATTTAATACATAATTTTCTGCATGACTAACATGAAGTTTAATTTTCTCCTTTCCCTTGTTATTGCCTCTGCTACTCACTCTTTTCTTACAAGTAGATTTATAGTGGCGATCACTATTCATTCAAATGATAAGAAACTATAACTATAGGTGAATTATGATGAATTATAACAGAACCATTAATGAAATTCAGGTCTTAAGAGCTATTGACTAAGTTATTGGAAATATTCCTATATCTGTGAAGTTCTCCATGCCAAATGGGAGTTGGTTTGATCCTAGTCTTTCCTTGTATAAAAATGTCCTTGTACATAAAACCCTTTTAGTTAAATGGTAATAACTCAGTTTCTTCAGAAGACAATTATGTACACAAACCATTTTGGTTGTGAAAGAAGAGTCTTCCTGCACACCTAATTCCTCGGTCTGCTTTGAATAGATTGGCCCTTGCAAAATGTGGTATTTGAGTGTCTTGTTCCCCCCTTGGGAGACATCACTGTTGACTGGAGCAGGGTTTGATGTAGTGCTCCCTATTTTTACTATTCGTTGCCTGTCTGACAGGAATGCAGTAATCCACTTATGAAGGCATCCGGAAATGACATAAGAGTTTAGTTTTAACAGTAGTTTGTCATGTATCACTGAATCAAAGGCTTTGCAGAAGTCTATGTAAATTGTGTCTATTGCTTTACCCTGGTCAAGTACAGTAGTCCATATGTTTTTAGAGTGTAGGAGTTGTACGTTGCAGGAGAAGTTTTTCCTGAAACCAAATTGTTTTTGGGAGAGTAGGTTGTTTGACACTAAGTAGAGGGTGTACTGGAACCAGTAGCAACTTCTGGCTGTCCAGGCCTCTGAACCGCTACACTCACCCAACAGTCGCTCGCCTCTTCCGGATGCTCAACCATCATTTCTGGCTGCTTGATGCTCGCCCCACCCACCCCTGCCCTATATATGTTGCTTTTGCCATGTGGCCCAGCTAATCGCCTCACCAGTTGCCTTGTTGATTCCGGTCGGCTAAGCTCACCAAAGGTAAGCAATGCATGCCACCCACTGAGCCTTCGCCTTGGGTCGGGGGCCAGGGCCCAAGGGATGCACGCTATTCCCTGAGGCTCTGGACCCCCCGGCTGCCTCGGTTGGGTCGGGGAATGCGTGATTCCCCAACTCCAGCCTTGCCCCAAAGCCGCCACCGACTTGCCACTCGCTCTCCCTCAGCGTCACCTATTTTCCCCTCCTTCAGAGGCCCTGGCCTGGCCCTTAATCTCCTTGTTTCCTCCCCTATGACTGCCTCTTTTGTCATCCATGGCCACGACCTTACCTTCCTCCAGTGGCTGGCTGCCAGGGAAGGCAAGCCAGGGCTGAGAGCTGCTGGGCACCCTGCCAGCCCACATCTCACACACACCCCTTGTCACGAGATGCCTGCAGCTGCTGCCTCTTTTTTTTTTTTTTTTTTGGTGCAAGAAGTCTCCCAGTTGATGTTTCTTTGCAAGATGGAACCGAGCCAGTAGCCCAAGCGCCATCTCCTAGCCGAAAGTCCCGGGATCTCACATGTGCACACATGAAGGTGGGACTTTCTGCAAGGAGAAGGTGCATGGGCAAGTCTCTCCAGTGCAGCGGGCTCAATGGGATGGACCTACATGCTGGCGCCTCTGTTCCCCTTGCTCTCTTCCAGGTTCTGGCCCGCCAGCCAGCCTGCCATCACTGCAGGTAAGAGGTGGCAGTAGTTCACACACACATCCGTGCTTCTCTAAATGAGCAGCAGCGAGATACAGGCGAGAACTGCTCTCAGCGGTGGCAGCATTTACTGGCGGGGCATCAAATGCCCTGTGTCCAAGCTGGCCATTGTGCCGGAACCAGGAATAGCAAGGGAAGCAGAGCTGCCAGCCAGAATGGGTTGGCTGAGGCTTTCCTTCCTCCCCGCCTGGTGCAGCGAGCTCAATGGGGTGGACCTGCATGCCAGCACCTCTGCTCCCCATGTCCGAGCTGGTCAGTGTGCTGGAACCTGGAATAGCAAGGGGAGCACAGCTGCCAGCCAGAACGGGTGGGCCAGGGCTTTCCTTCCTCTTCAATCAAGCAGGCTTTTTGCTGCTCTTCTGGGGAGGCAGGGCTGTGCAGGAGCTGACTCCATGCAGGAGGAATATCTGTCTGATGCTGTGGTAAGAGGTGCTCCAAAATGGAGGGTGGGGGGACTCCCGGGGCTGCCTCCTGTAGCAGCGCCGCCATCCCTGTAGCTGCTCACTTTCTGCCTTCTCCCAGGGCACAAAATCAACAAAGCAACAGGCCATGGCGGTTCATGCACTGGCCGCTTTCTGCCTCCTCTCAGGGGATGTGCCGCTTCCATCCCAGCCTGGCCAGCGGGTGGGCGTGCGGCTCTGAGGGGCATCTCTGCTGTGCTGAGGCTGAGGGGGCAGAAGAGGTGTGCATGTGCAGCAGCGGCAGCCCCGGTATTCTCAGAATATCGCCATCGCCCTCTCGGAATATCGCCATCGACGCTGCCACTGTAACCACTGGGAAACAAAATAAACAAAGTGAGTCCAGCCGCTGCCACACGGCTCACTTTCTGCCTTCGCGCATTGCGCCAGTCAGACCAGGTGTGGTGTGTGTGTGTGTGTGTGAGAGAGAGAGAGAGAGAGAGAGAGAGGGAGGGAGGGAGGGAGGGAAAGAAAGAAAAGGAAAGAGCAAGAAAGAAAGAGGAAGGGAAAGAAACGAAGAGGAAGAAAGAGAGAGAAAAAAAAATAGGAAGGGAGAGAGAGAAAAAACTCTGTGCTATTTTTAATTGTTCCATTAGTTATCATATATTAATATTTTACACTGTCCATACACCTATAGTGATTTTGCTGCCTTCTTTTGTCTATTTGCCTTTACTGTCTATTTTTCAGAGTTTACATGCATTGAATGTGTATGGTCCAAAGCATAAATACAGGTGTGTTTAACAGAGTTGAAAGGGACTATGGAGGTCTTCTAATCCAACCCTACTGCTTAGGCAGGAAAATTCTGAGGATGCCAAACTCTGAGTAGAGGTCCTGGGAAAGGTGTCAGAATAACAGAATAACACTTAGAAGGGACCTTCCAGAACTTCTGGAGACAAGCAGTTCTACTGGTTAATTGTTCTCACTGTCAGGAAGTTTCTCCTTACTTTTAGGTTGCTTTTCTCTTTGTCCAGTTTCCTTCCTTCTGGTGCTTTGGAAAATACATTGCCCCCCCCCTCTTTCTGGCAGCCCCTTAAAAGCCTGTTGCCACACTCTTGGGCAAAGCATGTGAGACATTTCCTCCTTTCAGTGGTCCATGAAAGTACATCTATAGTATGTAGATAATAAAATCAAAAAAAGGTAAAGAACATTTTTATGGAACTATAGATATGTTGAGGCTGGGTATGACAAGGAATGGCTGAGAGGGGAGGGGCCAGGCGAGGCACCCCTTGACGTGAGTGACATTGAGTTGGCCACACCTGCCCAGTCACATGACCACTGAGCCACACCAGCCAGTCATGTGACCACCAAGCCACGTCCATCCAGTCACATGACCACCAAGCCATGCCCACCCAGTCACATGACCCTAAGCCATGCCCACCAAATAAGCCATGCCCAGAGAACCCGGTAGTAAAATTTTTTGAATCTCACCACTGCTCCACATATGCCCTTGCAGGGGCTAGAGCTGAAACTGAGGCCTGGAGCTACAATAAGACCAGGTGCAAACTCCAATTGAAAGAAGAAATCAAGAAGAAGGGCAGTTGTTTTCCAAAATGCATCTTTTAGTATTTCAGAAGCAACCCTTAGGAATCTTTGCAACAGCTCCAATTGTCAGCTTAGTTCCATCTTCCTCTGCATGAGAGTCCAGGTATGTTTGACTACAACCTCCAACATGTTCAACCACAATGGCTATCTTTTCCATCTCATATGGGTCTTTTATTAATCTACTGCCATGTCCAAATGTCTTGCAGCTTATTGCTGCCTAATTTAGTATCCCAGGTTTCAGTTGTCATAAGAGCTGGGCCCAGACGTTGAGTGCAGCAAAAAGAGGTACTGAGAAACAGGTTCCAGCAGGGTGCATAGGAAAAGCCTATGGCAAACATTCTGTTTACAAAAAAATAAAAGATAGGTAGGGATCATGTCAGAGCCATAGAATTGTCCGTGCCCACAAAAAATAAAACATAAAATTGGAAAATATTGTTTGATTGAAATGTTAAATTAAGAGTTTACGGTACTTATATGTTCTATTTTAGTAGGATTTTTTCCTTCTTAGTTTCTTTTTTCAGCATTTCCAAATAACAGTTCTATAGATTTTGGCATGAAGTTCAAAGATTTATATACCTTTTCATATCATAAAAATGCACAATGTACTTTGTCTGATATTATCAATCTTCTGTTAATGTAATGCTGATCATTAATTGTATTAATTTCTTAATTCTGTTTAGTAATTCTGCTTATTGGTAATATATGCTATATTTGAAACTATATCTTTGTATTAAAATGTAATTTAAATTTTAAATTTTAAAATTAGCTATACATATCAGTATCTATATCAATATAGATAAATATTGAAGCAGCCTGGATCACAGAATCTAGAATTATAGGGCTAGAAGGCATCTTGGAGGTTTTCTATCTGCCCAAGGAGCCTAATCCCCAGTCCAAGGAGTCCTTATACCATTCCAGACAAATGGTCAATCAATCTATTCTTGAAGATCTCTCGTAATGGAGAACCCACAATTGCGGGAGGCAAGCTCTTCCAGTGATTAATTGTTTTTATTGTCAGGAAATTCCTCCTTATTTCCAGGTTGCTTAAATTTACAAGTGCTGTACACAGAACATTTCAGGTGCTTAGCAATCTCAGGGCCCATCTCTTGCTATTTATTTTCACCTGACCCACTAGAACAGGGAGGGAATGTTGCAGGTCCTGTCCCCAAGGATGTACACCTGTCAGGACTCAGGAGAATGGCCTTCGCTTTCATGGCTTCCACCCTTTGTAACATTGTCCCTGCAAGACTGGCCCCCACCTTGTCAGTCTTCCATAAGGCCCTGATCCTACTGTATACTGAATATCAATATTTATTAATTAGATTTTTATCCCTCCTTTATTAATAATATAGTTTCACTCTTGTACACAACTTTTGCAGTGAAAATTGCCTTTTTATGCATCATGAGCCTGTTATCTGTAATATGTTTTTAGATTTTATTTTATCTTTTTTTTAATATAAAAGCAATTTTAACAGCTTATATTTGTAACCTAATATGGATGTTCACTAGGTGGAAATATTTTTTTCTTCAC